TCTTCTCCGCATCCTCTGGCAAGGAGTTCCACAGGTTGACTGTGTGCTGAGTGAAGAAAAACTTCCTTTTGTTTGTTTTAATCCTGCTGCCTATTCATTGTATTTGATGACCTCCCAGTTCTTATATTGTGGGAATAAGTAAATCACTTTTCCTTATTCACTTTTTCCACACCAGTCATGATTTTATAGACCTCTATTCTATTCGCCCTCCCCCTTAGTCTCCTCTTTTCCAAGCTGAAAAATCCAAGTCTTTGTAATCTCTCTTCATACGGGACTCATTCCAAACCCCTTATCATTTTTATTGCCCTTTTCTGAATCTTTTCCAAGGCCACTATATCTTTTTTGAGATGGGGCGACCACATCTGTATACAGTATTCAAGATGTGGGCGTACCAGGGTTTTATATAGAGGCACTAAGATAGCCTGTGTTTTATTCTTTATCCTTTTTTGAATGATTCCTAACATTCTGAGGCAGCTCAAAGCAAGGCCTTAGCCCAGAGGTGGGGAAACCTATGACCTGGTGATCAGCTCTGACCCCTGGCTTGCCTGACTCCGGCCCATGAGGCTCGGGCCTCCCCACAGCATCAAGGAATCAGAGCTGGTGCTCCAGCCTTCTCTGTTCCCTGCTCCGTTCTCTGCCAGCACCAAGTCCCCACTGTGGGTGCAGGGAGCCTCGAGCATCGCAGGCTGGACTTAGGTAAGCTGGAGCCAGATCCGACCCACGGGCTCTGCCTGGTGAGGGGAGGAAGCTTCTCTATGCCCTGTTGCTCCTCCTCCCCTTTCTCCCCAGGAAACCGCAGTGCAGCAAAGTGCAGCCTAGAGGCTTCACACACACACACCACTGGGATTGGCTGTAATCATGGCCAATAGGAGCAGCAGAGGGTGGTGCCTGGGAGTGGTGGGGAACAGGGAGGGAAGTGCATCCTGCTAGCAGCAGTGCAGAAGTAAGGATGGTAATATCATACCCATGTTACTCTTATTTCTATAGTGCTGCTTTCAGAGCACCTCCAAGGCAGAGAGCAAGAAGTAGCATGGCAGTAGGAGAAAGGGCAGCAGAACTGCTGCTGGTACTGTTCCACCGCAGACAGTACTTTACAGGGAACTTAGGGGAGTTGATGGGCAGTTGCCTGCACATCCTACTTCTTCTGAGAGAGACGTCCCTGGGGGTGCTTCACAGCAGGTGTTGTCCATCCCAGCGCCGCAGAGTGGATTCTTCCTAGCAGTGCATTGGAGTCCACAAATGCGCATTGCGCCATCTGGCACTACTGTGTATGCGCTGCCATCCTCCCCTCAGTTCCTTCATACCATCTCCGGCTCAAGACGGACCTCTGCAGTGCTCTTCGTTCCTCAATAGTTCTCTGTAGATAAGTAGTTTAGTTAACTCCAAGCACACTCCGCCCCCGCCTTCCCTCCTACGCCCTACCTCCCAACCAGACCCGCCCCATCTCAGCCCATTTCGGCACCCCCTTCACTCCTGCACCCTACCTCAACCAGACCCACCCCATCTCAGCCCATTTCTGCACCCCCTTCACTCCTGCATCCTACCTCCCAACCAGACCCCCCCCATCTCACCTGTTCCTATACCCAACCACCCTCCCAGACCCACCAACCCCCAATCCACTTCTGCAACCTCCACACCCCAAGTCCATTTCCCGGCAGCCCCTTTCCACACACTTAGCTCCTTATTTTTGGCCCCACCCCAGAGCATGGGGGGGGGGGGGCCAAAAAAT